GGCGGCGACGGGGACGGGGGCGCGTCCACCGCCACGCAGCACGCGGGGGGCGGCGGCAGCAACAGCAGCGGTGGCCGCTGCTGCTGCGACTGCGAAGCTGGCCGGCGGCGGCAGGCACGAGCGGGAGCCGCCCCGCAGCGAAGCACGGCAGCGCTAGCGCCCACCTCTGCGGCGCCGGCTCATCGCCGAACGACTCACCCGTTCACTCTCGGTCACCGCCTGGATTCGTTCACTTACAGGGATTCGTTCACTTACAGGGATTCGTTCACTTACAGGGATTCGTTCACTTACAGGGATTCGTTCACCACCAATTATTAATTTCACTAACGGGGATTCGTTCACTATGAATGATTCGTTCACCACCGGAATTCGTTCAGTTTCTGGTTCCACACAAAAATACTTATCCGGATTCGGTTTCTTATCCTTTCGCGATAATTTAAAGATCTCTGATCGGTTCTCTTGCCGGGATGCGTTCACTCGAGAAGATTCGTTTGATTAATTGATTCGTTCACTCTTGAACTATTTCTTAGACGTGGTCCGACTTATAAAATTGTTCACGTAGACCTTCCTTCGACAGATTTTGTTCACTTTATAATGTATCAACGCAGTTTTACCTACATCCGTTTCGTATATACTCGTATATCCTTTATTAACTCCCCACGTAACAATTTTAAACTATTTTTGACTTTCTTATTGTTGTCGTCTTCTGTAATGGTAACTCATTTATCACTAGGGTTGAAGGTAATTATTTCACACCTTTAGTAATTCACCTCAGATATCGAAGTAAAGTTTTCTCAAAACAAATATTTGTAGAAGAATGACACTTTTTGACCACACGTGTCATCTACTATCACTCAACTATACAGTTGAAAACTTGCAGTATGTCGAACTACAAACACAATATTATATCTGTTCACAACAGATCTATAAAAATAAACCTAAAAAATATAATTTATATATAAAAGACTGCAAATGGACGGGGTTGTTTGGTTTTAAAAAAATAATAAAATTAAGAATCCGTTCACTTGAGCACAGCACGTCGGGGAAACCGTGAGTTCGAGAACAGGTTGCGAGTCTACCGCTCTCCCAGACACGACTTCAGAGACTGGGAGAAACCTGCCAAGCACCTTGCTCCTCACTGGCACACGGTACTGACGATGCAGCCTCCTCTTCGTTTTGGCTTCAAGGCTTGTTTACACTGCACGTAACCACAACACACATACACACACACACAGTGCCACCAGGCATTCGAAGCGCCGCTGTGGGTGGGGCAAGGAAACTTCGAACAAGTGACTGTCTGCAACACACACACGCGCGCGCGCACACGTAATGATGATGTCACTGTCCACACAAGGAAATTATCCACAGGCGGTGTCGATCACAGGATGGAGAGTTTCCGACACACGAGATGTGTTGGTCGGTGTGGGCGGCGACAACGTATCAATTCTGTGCGCGTACGGGAAAGGACAGCTATTCTAGGACGTGTTCTAATACGCCTCTTGTTTATCCTGTGCACGAAGAGTCCTTAATTGCCCGCAAACGGATGACAAAGCAGAGTTTAAAGTGGTTGCAGACGATTTTAATGGGTGATGTGTATTTTAATGTTCCGGTAGATTACTCCTGAAACAGACAGAAAAAAGGGAAAAATTAGATCAGACTTACCATAACAAAATAAACCAGATATATATTTATTATTTTGTGTTAATTTTTAGTGTGTAAATAAATGGATTGAATATCATCAATATTTTACAGACTTTTCATATTTGGCATCAATACGTAAACTAGTAGCAAAGTACAGGCAGTCGAAATGAGATTGAATGCAATTCACTTATAAACAAGAATTTTTTATCGTGTGTTCAAAAAAGAGACCGTATGAGGCTGTCTGCCTTGAAATTTGCATCAAGCAAAGAAAGAGTGAATGGGAAAAATGTCTTACAAGAATAGAGAATGACAGCATCTTTTCTAAACACAAACACTAAAAAGAAGGATTGGTAGACCGAAAAAAGTACGAGTGGTTACTGAGTCGCAACACCTAACGTTTCTAATAATTTAAGGAGGAAAAAATATTCGTAGTCAAGTCGTATGTTTCACCAGATATCAATGTCGGGGTGTTCCTAAAATACAGAAAATGCAACAAATTTTAATATTATTAAAATGTATAACAATAGTAATTATCTAGACGCATGCAAACATTCCGCATTTGTATAACATTGCTTTCTTCGTGAAAATATATTAATATTGGAATTCAACTTTATATTTATCGGAACTTACTTGATACCTCTAATTTGTGTTTTTGTACGTAGTTCATTTCAGTGAAGTGACAGGTTACGATTTCTACAAAGTGCGTCTTTTATCGTAGAGGGTGGCGGTGTTTTTCTCCTGCCGATTCGATCCGGCGTTCCTACACTTCGGCTTGCAAGGTAATCCCCTTCCAGGTATCTCCCACCACCGGGGCAAGCTGTAAGCTCCAGACTGGACTCCCGGCATGCGTGGTAGTGTAATTGATGTAAATATGTGTGTGTAAGTGTGTGTGTGTGTGTGTGTGTGTGTGTGTGTATGTAGTTCGGGGAGGGGATAGGTTAAAGAAGAGGAAGCAAAGATCGGGCTGTGGCCCGTTTGTTATGCCCGTGGCCCGCCTATTATCGTATCGCACGCTAGTTTGTTTGCATTGTGTCTGGTAATTCTAAAGATGTATTTGTGTAAGTACGGTACGCACCTTCCGAACTTTTGCGATGCCGAGCACAGATTAAACGTCAATTGTCGGAATACGGGGTCCCACTGATAAAATAAATAAATTAATTAAAAAAATAAAATAATATAATAATAATATATATAATAATAATAATATAATAATATAATAATAATATAATATAATAATAATGAATAATAAATAATAATAATAATCAATCCAATACGTGACAAGGTTTTTCAGTCCTGTCCGGCTCGCATACCAAAGCGGCTCACACTCCATCCTTCTCCATTGGACCTCTCCACCATTTCTTTCTCCCTTTTGAAGCCTTCGTCTCACTTTTTCTTTTACTTAAAAGCTGTAATTCTAGCTGTCAAGTGTTCTTGTGTTAAAGACTCCAGTGTGAGCTGCCGAACAGGGGAGAAGCTTCTGCGGCTGGGCCAGCGCTGCGTCGCAGCGGGGCGGCGGCGTTGCGGGGGGGGCAGGAGGATGAACAGCGTGCAGGACGGCGGGTGGCGGGGAGAGACGGGAGAAAGCTCTTTTCTCCCTCAGGTTGGCCGAACCCAGGCGCGCTGCGCTGCCCGCGGCGACCTTCGCGCAGTCACGCCCAGGCGGCCCACCGCGAGCAGCCGCGTCCCCAAGGAAGACGTCGCGTCCGGTGCAGCCAGTCATTACACGCCGCAAAGGAACAGAAGGACCCCGGAACAACTAAATGGGTCTGGCCTATACGTATTCGGAAATGTTCGGATTATCCGAAAAAAATGTACCGTACATGTACAAATACAGCTATAGGATTTGATACTCCATATTTGGAAAAGAAGCTGTCTAAACTATCTGGCAATCCTGTAGATGGTTCTACATAAAAGCGATTGTATTTGTTAATTGTGTCTTTAAATTTACAATTTCATTCTGCTTGAAGCACGTTTTATTTATTTGTAAGAAAAATGACGTAGGTAAACACAATATCTTAATGGAAAAAGGGATCCAAAGAGAACAAAGTACTCGGAGACAACAGCAGTGTACACCTCTCATTTCACCTCTCAAGTATTTCAGAATTTATTTTAATTAGTTACGTCGCTCAGTAGTGCCGAATATGAAAAACCTCGATTTCCAGAAAATAGATTCGGTCTTCCAGCTTTGCCCCTATAGTAAGTAGGAAATATTTCCATCCACCCAGTTTGATTCTGTGACGTTAGATTTCACACACCTGGAATACAACAGGCGTTTCACCAAACGACACAGTAAACAAAACTGAAGCATGTTTGAATGATAATATCATAAATGGCCAACATGTATTATCAATTTTGATATACATTGCAGATATCCCAATATAATCTGATATATAAAGATTGTTGGAAAGATTGCTTTATCCTATTTAAACAAATGCTTGTCTTTGCTCGAAATAATTTTATTAAAATGGTCTATAAAATAAAATATGCCCATTCCCGACTACTTTCACAACGTAGAACCCCCAGATGACAAACACGCGCTCCGCCAGTGTCGGAATTTCGCGTGGTCGGCGCGTGTAAACAGCGTCTGCGAGCAGCGGGAGGTCACCGAAACAATTGCCATTGTCTCCGCGGCGAGTGTCAAATCAAAGGCGCGAGACCGTCCGTTACTCGAAGAGAAGCCGTAGATTACTGCAGCTTCCGGCGTCGCGAATGGCGGGCGAAGGACACACGCATGTCACAAATGATGCATACGCTTCACACGATATCAAACGCACCTTCTCAAGTGGGCACACGCATACATTTTATAGTATTACACAGCGAACCCGTCGGTTATAGCGAACCCGTCGGTTATAGCGATCCCGTCGGTTATAGCGATCCCGTCGGTTATAGCGATCCCGTCGGTTATAGCGAACTTATGTCACTGGTTCCGTTTCTCTTACATTACAAGTAAGCATTAGAATATTCGGTTATAGTGAACCTGTACCTCAGCTATAGTGAACTGAGGAAATAGAACGTTCTGAAAATTAATTCCCTCCTGGAAAATTCGGGTATTGTCTCTAAAACATATCGTCGGCCAAAGGTCATTATCAAAGACGTCTTCTCTGAGGTGAAGGTAGCGGACCCGGAATGGGGACCTTACTGATGACCTAATGCCACTCACTTTCACTACGAAAATAAAGACTGTGTCCTGAGTGAGCTACAAAGGGCAGCGGCGACGCGCGATTGTTTGCTTCAGTAGCAAGCTCGGTGTTACTTGATATTTCGCGGGACAAAGCGCGTTGAGTTCTACGTAGGCGAGAGGAAGCAAGCGACTGGCACAGTTTGGCGATATCCGCCGTACCGCGCGGGAAAGCGATCAGTTTTGCTAGCCGCTTGCGCCATCCTGCTACCGAAAGCATCTCTTATGTTATTTGGCGAGTAAAAAAGGAATTTCGAAGAGTGGGACGATGTTCCAACAGTGCAAGAGACATTAGGGGTGTCAAGACTGCATTACGATACGTTGACAATGCAGAATCAAGCATGGAGAAAGCACGAACTCTGGAGAAGGATCTACAGAAATTACTCATAAAAAAGTACGGAGCAAACAATAGAAAAAAATGATTTTTTCCACGGCAAACAAAGATATTGAAATTATTAGTTCGCGTTGTTAATGTATTTTATTGTATCTCTATATTAATAAAATCAATCTCTCTGGAGAAATTCTACATAATTTTGACATCATCGAATTTCGTGAACCAAAAATGTTAGTTCCCAGACATTCACCATAGCCGGAGCCGACTGTAGTTTACGAAAGGGGGCTTACACTGAGTGTACAGTAATATCTCGTTGATTTCTCTGGCCAGTACAGACTATACATGAATGTGATGCGAAAAAAAACAAACAAATCTTGATTTCTACACCATTTAAAAATAAAATGGTACATTTCAACTGTTGATTATCTCTCACAAATTAATACGATACATTATGTAAGTAACAATTTTAATGCATCAACTTTATTTTGCACTTTATGATTATTATTTAAGATTTTGCTACATTTTCGGATGCGTATGTCCATTGAAAGAAGGAAAGAAAAAAACAAAATTAATTAATGACAAAGAAATATATATTTCATTATACTTAAGATATACTAAAAAACGCAAATTTAGTATAGAAATTAGATACAAATTTCCAAGAATAATTTTAAAAGAACCCTCACAAACAATTGATTCCATAAAGTCCTTTTTTCACCACGAAAATTCTTTATAATCAGCTTATTAATAAACAAATATCCTTCTTATGTTCTTACAATGACAAACAA